CATGACTTTTTAGTAAAAATAAATTTGAATTGTGTTAATCATACATCAATAATAACTCAAGATAGAAAAAAAAGAGTTAAGATATTGTACCATAAGTGAACAATAGCAACAACAACAAAAAAAAACAAGTTTTCACAGTGAGTTAGTTAGTTTATTTGAACAATCGATCAGCAAACAATGTACGAATAACAATTCCTTTGTTTTAAAAAAAAACAACTTGAAATACACTTAAGAAAGATCCATTGTTTCAACATCATGAGCAGGTATATCTCGAACAACACGTGTTGTGACTACATCGAATTCAACATGATGAACACTTTTACAGAGAACCGAAGTTGTACCTACCGGAGGATTATACTTTTCTGCTCTGAAAAATTAATAAAAAATTAAGGAAACAAATTTGAATTATTATAAGATATAAAGATGGATACAATTTAAACATGAATACAAATTATTGACAGAGTAATGTAATGTAAAGCCATTGTACAGTTGTATCCATTTAATGCAAACTTTCATAGTGTAAGAACAGACTAGTTTACATTATTTGGTGGTGAAACGTCAGTAAATTTGTACAAATATAACAGTAGAAATCAAGCGATATAAGTAGTGTAGGTTATAAAACCCAGATGTTTATCATTCTATTTATTAGTTACATCAGTCTTCAAAAAAAAAACGGTTATAAGCCTGTTGTTTATATTTGAATTGTCAAATGTCACAGAATTGTTTAAGGGATTGAAAAATTTTTGTTACTTTTTTTGAGTGCTCTACTTGTTTTCTGATGAAATGGATTGCAATGAATACTAGGAGTGATAAAGATAGATAATCCACTTAAATTCGAATATCTAGTTTACTAAGTCAGTCAGTTGCAACGTAGAACTTCGTACGTAAGTACATCAGTTCATGTTGCCATACCACATTAGCACAGAGATATAATTGTCAATTCAAATCCAATAGTAGAAGAGGTAGTAAAGGTATTAGAAGTAATCCGAGAGGTTACGATTAGAAGATATCATTCAAGAAGTATGATTCAGTGAGAAAAGTTTAGAAAGTCAAAACTAGAGGTGTTGAAGAATCCAGAAGATTAGGATTTAAGAGACCACAAAGAATAAATGCACCGGCGCCATTGCGAACGATTTTCAGCCATGTCATTCAAGGTCTCTAACCATCGATTATTATCATATCGCGGACCCCAACCACGTAGTCGACAATTACCGACATGGCTAAGTCCATTTGTCAATGATTTCATGGATTTCTGCCATGTTTTGGATTGGCCGCCCCTAGCTTTCTTCCAACCTATTCCGACACTACAAAACAAAGCTCGACGAGGCAGTCGGTGTTTGGGAATACGCAACACATGTCCCTACCACCTCAACTAACGAAGTTTCAATACTTCATCGACTGATCTGCCATTCTTACCTAGCACCCGATTTCTAATAACAGCGTTGCTCACTCGGGTGTCCCACGATATACGAGAAATGCTTCGAAGACACCTATGATCAAAAACCAATAACCGACGAATATCTTCTACTCTCACTGGCCATGTTTCACAGCCATAAAGTAAGACGGAGCGAACTACTGCGCAGTACACTCGTCCTTTAGTCAGCAAACGGATATCACGCCTACGCCATAAGTGACGCAGGTTGGCAAAAGCCAATCGAGCCTTCTGTATCCGAGCTGAGATTTCGTCAGTCACCAGGCCATCAGCACTGATGAGACTCCCAAGATAAGTGAAGCGGTTTACACGCTCGACTACTTCACTCCCTACCACTAGTTCAGGTGCCGATGCAACCCAATCTTGAAGCAACATTTTGAATTTCGAGGGGGAAAACCGCATCCCGAACATGGTTGCATTGTTGCTTAGGGTGGTCAGAAGACTCTGCATTTTGTCAGCGTCTTCACCAAGTAGGACTATGTCATCGGCAAATTCTAAGTCAATAAGCGAGCCTCCTGGTAAAGGTCTACTCCTGAAAATTCAGACGAGCTTAATGTTAACTCTAAGAGGATGTCTACGACAAAGTTGAACAAGAATGGAGAGAGTGGACAGCCCTGACGGACACCACTTGATGTAGAGAATTCAGATGACAGTTCGCCATATGCTCTCACCCGACCAGTGGTGTTCGAGTAGAGTGCTTGTATAAGGTTAATGTAATTCTTTGGTACACCTTTCAATGACAGACACTGCCACAGAACCTCACGATCCACTGAGTCAAATGCCGCTTTTAGGTCCAGGAAGACAACTATTGTAGGACGCCTAAATGTGTGTCTATGTTCCAGGACCTGTCGTAGTGTGAAAATGTGGTCTATACAACCACGTCCAGGTCGAAAACCAGATTGGTTTTCCCTAGTCTGCTCTTCACGAGCACTAGTATGATCGAGGCCAACAATTCAGAAACTAAATTAGTTAAACTTATTCCCCTGTGACTGTCACAAGAAGACTTCTGTCCTTTCTTATAGATTGGGACAATCAGTGATTGAAACCAGTTTACTAAATTACACTATGTCTATGAATGATGCTCTTTGTGTTGGCTGGATAAATTTAACGTAACAAGAATCATACAAATACAAATGTTGCTTATGTTTAGATGCCTCTAATGTACGAAAAAACTAAGCATAGTTATTAGATAGTATTGGAAAAATGTGACAAGGTAACTACAAACTTTAAGGTTTGTGTGCCAGAAACCTGGAACTATACTGAATTTCTACTGGGTAAAGACATGAACTCGTAAACTTAATGGTCGATTAGGATTTTAACGTGCAAGCATCAAAAATCAACTTATGTTTGAAAATGTTTCCGTTTATGATGTGTACAGGTCAGTCAGTCAGTCAGTCAGATGCAACGTAGAACTTCGTACGTAAGTACATCAGTTCATGTTGCCATACCACATTAGCACAGAGATATAATTGTCAATTCAAATCCAATAGTAGAAGAGGTAGTAAAGGTATTAGAAGTAATCCGAGAGGTTAGGATTAGAAGATATTATTATTCAAGAAGTAGGATTCAGTGAGAAAAGTTTAGAAAGTCAAAACTAGAGGTGTTGAAGAATCCAGAAGATTAGGATTTGAGAGAACACAAAGAATAAATGCACCGGCGCCATTGCGAACGATTTTCAGCCATGTCATTCAAGGTCTCTAACCATCGATTATTATCAATGTGTACAGGTAGAATTCATAAACATTTAGTGAATGTTTTACACCATTCTACTTTAATATAAGAAATTTCATAAGGAATTAAGTGTCAAAACACGCTTAAGAATTAATATTGAATTTTAGTGAAAATTCATTGGAAAAAACATTTTCAATGTTTTAAATTATAACAAATATATATAAGAAAATTATACACACACACCTTTTGCCTTTAACATTAGCTTCATCATATGATCGAATATATTTTGTGCCATCTTTAGTAATAATGCATATATCAACATTACTACCAGATCCCATATCGTTGAATATTCCAGCTGCTATTCCATCACGAACTAACTTTACAGCTTCATCTTGCTAAGAATTGAAAATGTCTAATTATATTATATTTTATGATTTAAAATATTCTTAAAACTGAAAATATCAAAAACACTGATAATATCTAGGTGAATGATGCATGTTTGACACAAAAAAAACATTGTAAGGAAGAGGGCCGTTATTCATAAAGTTAGTTTGTTTAGCTTAGTAAAATTAGTGGATTCAGCTAGTCAGTTAACCATGAACGTCGTGAACCTGACGTATATTTGTGGGTTAAGTCCTCATACCATATTAACATAGAGATAAAAATGATCAAGGAAAATCCTAGAGTAGTAGAAATAAAGTGTTTGATTTTATCGCTCATGGTTTAAAGGAAGACATCGAGCAGACTCTAACCAGATAGTTCGCATATAGTAACGTGACTTAGTCCAACAACCGACGAATTTATAGGCTTGGTTTGACCTTAAGCTTCCTCCCAAGTAGAGTCATATCAACCAACACTGTAAGTTGTAGTGGACGGTGGTTGGGCATATATGTTTAAACCATTTCAGTTAACAACGACCCATAATTTCATGATACAAAGTGTTATTTATGCTTAGTATACTGACTAACTTAAGCATTGTTTTGAAGACATGCAGCCTATCCATATACATTTTAATTTCATGGATCATGTTTCGGAGTGATACCGAGCGAGCTACTGGGCAATGTACATACTCTTCAGTTGACAAACTGACATTTTCCAACATCACGAGTGATGAAAGTAGGTGAGAACCAATAGTTTTCTGAACATTTCGTCAATCACTACCACATCAGGGATTATGCGACCTCTACGATAAGTGAAATGAATGCACTCAACTGCTTCATTCCATCAGGCAATTTCACACAAAATAATGGTACAGATCATTTCAAAATCTGAAACAGTGGTTACACTTACATACCAACGTCATTATTACGGGTGATCATTAAGAACTCAAGCTATGCTCTTGGTATACTAGAAAATAAACCCTATTGCCGACGAATCTCGATAGGTGTGTGATGTAGTTGTAAGAGAAAGACTATTGAAGTTGAAACTACTCCACAGGTTCATATTTAAGTTGCATAATTATTAGACAGTTAAAATATCGTAATTTTACATTCCTTGTGTAGTGGGCTTACGTTGAACTATGTATATTTGTAGGTGGTGACTAGCCAAATGGCGAAAGTATCACAATCGATAGATATCCTTAACTCCAAAAACTGGGACTCTAGTGTGACGAACCAGCGAATGAAAACCGCTGCCGTGTTTTGATCAGCACTCGAAATCAAATTGTTTACAACTAGATCTTGTCTTGATTACCTGCTATTTTCATCAGTAGCACGTCTGTGTACCATTTTTGCATTTGTTAAAAACCGCTTACAACGACTTGGGGAACTGGTGTCAACAGTTTTAATACAAATTGCTGGCCAACACTGAACAATTTAGTTCTTGACTCAATTAATTAATTAATTCAACAATTTTACTCAATCATATTTCTAGATAAATGCAGGTAAATTTCACGTTTGTCGAAATACGATAAAAACGGATCGACAAGTTACGGACTGATCTAAACAACGAAAAATAGCTGGTATGCGTCAAGAAATTTTCTTAAATCTATTTGCATATCTTGACATTGTGTTCATAAACGAATTTAATTCCTCTTTTGATCCTCATCTTAGAGAAAGCTAGAATAGCAATCTAAATCTGATTACTTGACATGTATCTCAAAATGGTATGATTAGGAAGTTTTTAGGCTTGGTTGCCGGAGTATTAGCTATTTCTCAGGTCATACAATAGACATACTGACTCATAGATTCAAGCACTAGGTTTAAAGGCATTTACTTCCAGATAAGACTGTTATCTCATCGACTTTGGTTTCATTAGCCAGATAGTAATCAGGTTTTAATCTGACCAAAAGTTGAGTGCAGATACCTTCACCCGGATACTGAGTTGGGCTAGCCATAATCTGAGTATAAATACATTCGGAATGTGGACTGATAATCGTAAGTCGAGTACATCAACCACCGTTCCACTTGGACTATTAAAGTGTATTGCACTCAAAATGGAGCTCTGAAAATGGAAAACGTCAGCATAAACTAAAAAACATCCAAGTTGCATGTCCAGACAAACGCACTTACTTCCATATCAAATTTAAACCTTGATTCCAGTACAGACATGCATGCAAGACTACCACTTCCCATTGTGATGTATGGTAATTTATCCGTTGAACCATGTGGTGCAATACTGTATAAGTGAGGGCCTGTAGAGTCCACTCCACCTAATACGAGAGCAGCACCAACATAACCCTAAGGAGTTAAAAAAAATAAAGGTAGTCAGGTTACTTGGTACTGATAAAGATAGCGCTTAAGGAGACGAAGTGGAGCTATGACTCTTGGAGTCCTCCCTGTATTCAAACGGTGGAGTTCAACTTGGGAAGAAATCATGAGTGTGACCATCTGAGTGTCGGCTGCAGTCCCAGCTCCACAGCAACTAAACAGTTATTTAAAGACAATACATACTATATGTTTTCTGCAATGCGGTGAATTTTAGAACAATTTTTTTCAGCAACTATACTACCTTCTGTTGCTCGTGTATCTGCACCCAGAACTACTCCATTCTAAGACGACGTTCATCTAGATTTACTAACTGTACCTTGAAAACAACTCCACATATTGTTGTCCCAGTTTTTATGGCTTTTGGCACTGTAAAGCCTTTTTGTTCGATGGCTTTATTTCTGGTTTAAAAAATATTGAAAAGACAGAGCCCACAAACCTGTAACAGTTGTCAAACGAAAACCCCCCGGACTTCCTATCGAGGACCAGAGAACTCATGATGAGGCTAAGAATTCACAAGCCCGCTCTACAAAGGTCAGTTCTTACTTCAACTTATAGTTTCAGAAGAGGCCAGATATTTGCTCCTTGAGTTCCAAAATCAGCCCTCCTTAACATTAGAAAGTATAAAACTAGAAGTTTTTTGGTTCTTGAATATTGTTTTTTCAGTGTGGTTCCACGTGTTTGGTAGTGGAATTGATGGTAGTCTTACCGTTCGACAGCGCTAATCCTAGTTAGTTTGGTAGTTATTAATGATTGCACACATCTTTTGATTTGATTGAGTGGGTTTGTATCAAAGCAGCGGGGATTCTGGATACTAACTATTGTATTCAGTATCCAATTTATCCATTACCTTTTTCACGAGCTAGGATAAACCAATTGATTTCCTTGCGCTTGCTGCTTGTTCTTTCAGTACGGTTCCAGGTGTTCGGTAGTGTCCGACGAATGGGGTTTAGCCACTTGATTGTCTAATTCTAGTTAGTTGGTAGTTGGTTGTGAGCTTGTATGTCCCGTGATTTGAATCAAAACGGTTGTTTCAGGGCAGTAGGATTTCTGGATACCAGCAGTTATCACATTACCAGACCGGAGACCAGTTAGTTGCAATGTGGGGAAAGATAAGTATAAAATTCTAATGCTAATATAAGTAAGGTTTCAGAACTAAGTCAGTAGATAACTTAGTTTATTAATTGGTAGTGAATATTGATGTGTAAGCAAGGGAGAGGAAACAGAGATAATGGGCTAGGTAGGTTAGTTGAGTGTTCTAAGGAGATGGCAACGATCACAACTACCAGGTCTCAAGATATGCATCAGACACATCTTGTTCAAGACGGAGATCACAATCCGTATATGAGTATGTGATTATCAAGTCTTTTCTTAAAGACGTCTACTGAGGGGCCTGTGGTCACCTAGGCTGGGAGAGCATTCCAAGTTGCGACGACTTTCAGTGGGAAAAAGTGTGTATGAACCTGAGTATTCGCTCTTTATATGTACAACTTTTCGATGATTCTCTCGAGGGAAATGGTGATGATGCATCGGTAAGATGTTAACTTTGTGATGGTTTGGCGTGCTTAATATGTTGTACGCCGTAATCAGATCACCTCTGATTCTCCTGTAACTCAGTGGGAATAATCCCAAGTGTTGTAGTCTGTCTGCGTTAGGTTTATTCCTCAACCCTATCACCCATTTGATTGCCCGTCTCTGCACTCGATCCAAGAGATTTGTCTCTTTTAAGCAGGGGCGGTGCGATGACGTTGTGAACCTCCAGGTGTGGGCGTGCGTATGTCTTAAATAACGGTAGGAATAATTGTAGGATGATAGCACCAAGTTGTCATGGCATAAAGTGAAGAGTTGCATTCGGCCTCGTTGCGTCCCCGATATAGTTCGGGCTTGTGTGTGGACGTCCTGAGGCTATTAAACCGAGATCGCACTCTGAGGAGACATTAGGTAGCGGACTTATACCGAGTGTGTAAATCGTTTGCGTCATGTGGGGAAGAATATGCATGAAGTGACACTTCGGTTGGTTGAGTTTAAAGCCGTTTTTTACGGCCCATTCCTCAATAGATCTTTGCATCATCTGCATAGATTAATGCCGGTGCGCTAACTGAGCCTAAAATGCCATTAATAAATATCAGGAAGAGAAGTAGACCCAAGATGGTCCCCTGTGCAGCTCCTAATGTTGATATTCGCCAGCTCGCGTGCGCACTATTTGCCTTGGTAAGAAACTTTCTACTCTCAAGGTCGTTTCTGAGCCAATATACGAGTGGGTCAATGAAGCCCATTTCCACAACCTTTGCGATTAGGCGTGTATAGGGTACTGAGTCGAAGGCTTTTGCAAAGTCGAGAAATATTACGTTCACAAGTATTTTTCGGTCCAGGCAGGATGCTGAACTGTTCCATGCGATGAGAAGATTTGATGCGCACGACCTGCCTTTCCGAGGCCCTTGTTGGGCTTCATGGAGTATTTTATTCTTATCCATGTACTCCAGGCTGGAATTCAGTTGATTGCAACGTGAAAAATGCTAAAGAGAACATTTTAATGCCCAAGAGAAGACGAATATTTCAAGAACTAAATAACTTATAAATTAAAAATAAACCGATCTGTTTCAAATCCAATTAGTAGGCGATTAGAATACATCTTCAGTTCACAACCAACGTTTAATTTACCAAGAGACATAAACTTCGAAACAGATGGTTTATTAATAAGGGAAATCAGCACTCTGATGAAATAACAAGATTTCAATCTTACGGCTGTGGCTAAATTACCAGTAGATGACACAAAATAAAAAATCTGCAGCATAAAATGTAACTTAACAATCAAAGCTGTGTCAAGCCTTTTCTCTCGTTGGTCTATCATTTGTGACGTTTCATCAGGTAACAACTATCTTTTTGTCCTGAAGGTTTCTAGACAAGTATTCCAACAACTTCATGAATCGTTACATGCCTGGATCTCAGCTAACTTGAAACATATTACAAGGCTCCTTTTCGGCCATAATTTAGTGCTGCTGTGAAAAGATGAACACGAAACTGCACACAAAAACAGCACAGCAATTTTCGACAACTCAGAGCTTGAGTTAATCAAATTTTAACAGCAAGGCAAAGGTCTTCAAAACATAAGTTTAGAAATCGCCGTCCCTTACTAACATTCAACCACTTCGCATATACATGTCTCGTGTATATATCTAGCCTGTAAACTGGCATGCCTCTTGTAACATGCTGTTATTTGGGAATAAATATTATCATTATTATATAGAGCTGTACGTAGATTGACCAGACAATGTTTTATGCGCCATAAAAAAATCGAGGGAATTATTAATCTCGGCGGTTCTTCACCATAAGAAATCCGAAAATAGCACCCTGCATCAGTCTGTTTAATGAATTCACAAGATTCTTAAGTAAAATCAGCAGTCCACCATCAGACAGCCAATGAGTTGATTGAAATATTCTACCATCAAATAAAAACCTCGCTAAGATCTTAAGGCGTAATAACTGTGCAGGGAAAAATTCTAGGGTTTCCAACGGTCCCGAACCAAGACAAAAGTGGGAGGTTAAGCATCACTTTAGCGACCCCGTACCGTAGAGAATAAACGTGATAAAAAACACTAACCGGAACAAATAATTTAAACCATTTTGACTCTAACCTGAAATCTTAAAGGTCTTCACTTAAATGAGTTGTCAAACATCATGGTGAAAGCCCATTTTCTTTAGAAGCCACAAGACCAATTTTCCTTCCCACAACACATAAACCATTAATATCAGGAACATTGGATATTTACAAAATGCGGGAGTTTTCAAAAACATCTTAAATCGCTGCAGAAGCGAGAAGATGAAACCTGGTGATGCTTGAAGTTAGTGAAATCCATTGCACACAGACTGCACAAAAGACATTTGCTTCAAAAGAGATGCTGTTGTATTTCAGCCATGAGGAAAAATTGCCTTACATACACAAAGAGTTGCACTGATGCTGTTCAAAGAAGTGTAAAAAGCACCTGTAGGATGGGAATCTTATGGACCCAGAGTCACCAAAGCATCCTCCAAGTAAAAAGCGAAGGTGATTTCGACTGCTATGCGCCCATCAACGATAACGACGAAAACCCTAAACATCAATTCTGTGAGAGAGTACAATCAATGGTCCATGATTGTCCAACAACAGACTTAACTATTCTGATAAGAGATCTAAATATCAAGGCTGTACCGGACAACACTGAATATGAAGATAACATGGGACGACATTGACTGGGAGGAAGAAACAAAACCTCTGAGAAATTAGCAAACCTATGTACCTGGAGATTATGAGGTCGGTTCCATGTACAGTTATATTAGCAGACTGACTGAAAATTTTAAATTGAGTAGAGATGGTTGTAGAATCCAATTTGAAGGCCTTATTTGGGGAAAATCCCCCCACGTACATATTTGTAATATGTTCTTACTGACTCTTTCTATGCTACATTTTGGTACTCTGTTTAATTCCATTTTGTGATGTTAATATTTGTACTTTGTTATAGTTTCTATTTTTTGTACCTTCATTAGAGTTTCTATGTTTTCTGCTGAACTACATTATGCTGTTTAAACTGAAACTTAATTATGGCGTCAGGCATATCAGATTTGATACCCTGGTGGGTGAAAGGTACGTCTGGACTGGAAGGGTGCAATTTTGGACCTAAACGGAAGCACTCTTCCAGAATTGGAAACACATTGTGTTAATTTTGATGTAGAACAGTGTAATATTGTTTAGGTAATGATCTGTAAATTTTATTTAATAATAGAACCTTTTCTTACCCAGATAAATTGCTTTCTCTCTGGATTAACTGGGAAAGACGTGTATCTAAACTTCAAGAACTGTTCTTCCGAATTCATAAACCACTCTGAAACCTAACAATGGTAGTCCAGTGATAATAATTTATTATAAAATAATAATAAGTTACAAGGGGCATGCCGATTTACAGGAAAGATCAAAATGTTAGAATTGCTGACATATTTTCTGTACAAGTTTTTTCAGTTACCTAAACATTTCATAAGATACGTTTGCTTCATACAGAAGGCTAATATTTTACACATAGAACTGAAGATAATGTTTCAGACTCTGTAATGTATGGACAACAGTTGGCGCGAGTTACCACGTTTACCATATGATGAATTACTAATGGCTGAGAACCAATGCAGGATAAATCCTGGTCTGCGAATATCAAGAATTTATGAGGTAAATATGCAAATATCTTGCTGATATCCGTTAGATAATACGTTTACGGGCTTTTGGGTAAGGTAACAAATTCTTCAGCTATATCCAGACCAAAATTTAAGGATTAGAGTAAGGTGCTGAAAAAGAGAAATAAAGAGAAAGGAGCAAGAAGCAGAACGGAAAATATTCATGGATAAAACAAAGGTATGATTACTCAGACCTTTTTTATATTATAACACTAAATATACATATGCACTTGTGTAGATCAATGAAGGCAAGTCACTAGTAAGATAACGAATGGATTATTAATCGCATGAACAGAGGAAATTAAGAAGAACTAAATTGTTGGAAATAATAACAATTTACCGAACGTAATAATAAAGGCTTAGTGACCTGATGCTTTCGTGATATTTTATTTAATCTTTTTCTGTTTAATTTTTCAGCTCAAGATATCAAGACTGAGCTCTTTTTCACCATAATTGTCCAAATCTGCTTGTTATAGGATTTCTTTGAAGAACGTGAAACTAGCACAAGGTTACAAACAAGGAAAAGTGACATAAATATCATTGATTAATTACATCCTCCAATATCATAATGAGCCGTAAGCAAACCAAGCGTTCTGCCCCATAGATATGGGTAGATTGAGGTTGTCTCCCCACCGTCATGAATGCTGGTCAAATACACCACCCTCCCTTGTTTTGTGATGTTAGGCTCTCTTACCAACAGACTGGAAAGTATGAAAACTTATCTGGACACCGAATAAGGGATATCTCAAAAAATGTGAGTACTACTGAGACACCTTTTTTATAGCCAATTATAAATTTGAAAATCTGAACTATACCGTTGGTTTATGTCTTCAATAGCTGTTTCTATTCACACTACCATGGATTGATGCTGACGAGCAATTTTTGTTAATCCGCTAACTCTCAACTATCAATTTATGTTACACGACCGTTCGCTGACAGAAGATTTGAAACACATGGATTCTTTGTCTAAACAAACAGTGTCACAGTGTTGTTATAACCGTTAACCCGTGCATGGATATAATTTATGCAATTTAATTAACGATGAAAACCGTTTGTGCAATTTATGCAGTAATTATTTTCAGACTCAGTTAACTAAGTATATGTAGCACAACGTTCCTCTATTTGTTTATGCGTTTTATGTTGATTTTTGACCGAGTAGATTTGGTGCGGGGTGCTGCAGTTTTTCGACGCACCATATGTCCGTTTTAGTGTGCGTAGCTTAGCCCTGGTGTTTTGGTTGATATATTAAGTCATTGCCTTGAAAGATATTTTGGAGCGGATAGCTGTGTCTAGTGCAGATTTATTGGGGATGGTGAATATATGTAATATTTCAGAGAGTTTAAGACTAGTAAAGAAGGTCATCTAGCCGGAGTGACGAACTAGAAATTGAAAGCTTTACCAGTCAGCTTCATAGTCATAGAGTCCTTGGTATATGACGGTCTGTGAGATTACTTATTATCCGAACTTACTTTCTCCACAGCAAAATGTTTCAAGATGAGACAACCTGCTGACTGTGATGGACAAGTGGACAACCACCCTTCATCACAAGAGGAGGATTGGTGTGAAATATGTTGACTTTTCGAAAGCTTTCATTAGGGTCTGTCAAAGCTACCTTTTGTATGATGGGTAAAATTAAATGTAACTAGTCGACTTTTTGGGATCAGAATAAACTTTACTCTTTCTAAGGCTACCGAATACCCTTGGGATGTGCACCAAGTCCTCTCCTCTATCCATTTTGAATAAATTTCCTCAATAAACATCGTCTTAGTTACCATTTTTCGCCAAAGATGTGAAGCCTCTAGGGAAAGTTTGTGAATGGATGATAATCTGGTTCCCCAGGAGGATTTCACTTCAAATACGTTCGGGTAATAATGGACTCATTTTTGACACTTCAAATTGCAAAACAGTCCCCTTTAGACGTGCTACAGACTATGTACACAACTTTGATAACTCCCATCTGGTGGTTTACCGAATTGCGAAGAATATAGGGGTATCAAAAGAAGAAGCAAAAGAAGACACTGAAACGTATCCAGACGCAAGACATATAATCAGTTCGAGGACACTAGTTTAAACTCTATGACGAGCCTCTCAAGTTACTCGGTCTTCATCCATTAGCGTATAGGCGTCTTTAAGACCATCTAATGACTCAAAAAGTCATAAACATACATAAGCATTGCCCAAAATACCTACCTAAGCTCATTGTCTACGAAAAGTTCCTAGAAAATAAACATAAACTAGATGAAGTTCTTAGAGAGAAACCAAATGAATGATACAGGCATGTGAAAAAGATATTGGACATTGTCTAGTTACAAAAATAATTGGGTCCCAAGCGCGCTATTTCGGTTTTGCTGGTTATGCGTTCTGGTCTGTTATTTTTCATTGTATGCGTATCCAGTTTTGTTGCGCTTGCTAGAAAGGAAGGCAATGAACCAGATAAAGTTGAACCCGTTACTTTTAATGTAAAGGGTTGCTTGTTATTATCAACAATCATGAAGATTCACATATCAAAATCAGTAAGTTCCTCTCTTATTTATTATTCATCACTTAATTCATGCCATCCCTATGAGCTGACACATAATTTTCTAAATTTGCGGGTTTTTTCTTATGAACAAAGAAATGATGCTAATATTGTTTTCACTGTTAACTACTTCCCGGGGTACTATTTAAATGTTTCTTAAAAAATTATTGCTCTTACACTGTTGAGGTAGTAAGATACTGGGCCTCCGATTTTCAAACTTCGTACGTACGTACATCATTCCGGCTTACCATATCACGATAGCACAGAGATGCAATTGTTGACTCAGATTCCATAGTTGTAAAGGTCTCTAACCAACGGTTACTATTGTCTCGCGGGCCCCAACCAACTAGTCTGCATCTGCTAACTTGTTTCAGTCCACTTTCCAGTGATTTCGTGGATTTGTGCCATGTTTTAGTTTGGCTGCCCCTAACTTTCTTCCAGCCTACCCCTGGATCAAGCATTATCTCGCCGGGGCTGTCACTACTCCATCAATTGATCCACCATCCTTACCTAATACCCATCTCCTAACCATAACTTTGCTTCATCGATTGTCCCGGGATATACCAGCAATGATTCGGAGACACCTATGGTCGGAAACCAGTATCCTACGAATATCTACCCAGACTGGTCATGTTTCATATCCATATAGGACGGAGCGAACTGCTGCGCAGTACACTCGTCCTTTGGTTAGCAGACAGATATCTCGTCCACACCATAAGTGCCCTACAACGAGCGACAGGCTTTTTTCGAGCTCCTCTTGTGTCTGATAACAACCTGTTCTAATTGCGTCGATTTCAGGGATCGCCATGTCAAATGATGTTTTTCCCTATGCTTATAGTTAGTATTTGCTAGAAATAGACGATTATCTGAGGATAGTCGCAGTAGGTGGTAGCCATTATCAGTTATTTGAGCCGCGACATAAGATCCACCAAGGTGTCTTTACTTTCCACTTAGTCTACCCACTTGAGCATTGAAGTCACCAGCCACTATTACTACATCAAAGAACAACTTTTGTACAGCGTTATAGAGGTTTCCATAAAACTTATCTTTTACCTCATCCGACCTGCCCTCAGTGAGTGTGTAGGCAGAGGCAACGGCGAGTATCCCTATGTTCCCGAGTTCTTACTGTCCCGTTTAGTCGGACAGCACATAAGTGACTATCCTGTCTAAGAGGGCTAATCCTGCCCTGGGACTCAACGTTATGTCCACACCAGCGAGACCACATGAAGTAGCATCAGGACTTCCAGGTACACGGAGAGTAAACCGAGTTGGTTCTTTATTTGAGGATGGTGAAGTGAAATTAATCACTGTACTCAGATCGTGTATGCACGTTTCGGAGACACAACATACATTGATGGCGTGAGATTCTTAAGTCCTAGCTAAAGAAGCTTGTTGTCCTATTTAGCACAAGGTTCGTACACTATTAACTTCAACATGTAGTGTAGTACGGGGGTTCAGGAGACCGAGAATAACGTTCCGTGAACCCGAAACGTTTGCATCAGTGGCGTGAGGTTACAGTGAAATGAAAGAAAGTTTGGTCGTGGAGATGAGAGAGTTCTTGAGAGGTGTTGGAAGAATTTGATTGTGACCTATTTAATCACGTGTTTTGTTAGGGGTATTAGGGCGGATGTCACTTCCTGGCTGCCTACAGTCAGTCAGTCAGTTGCAACGTAGAACTTCGTACGTATGTACATAAGTTCATGTAGTCATACCACATTAGCACAGAGACGCAAATGTCAAATCAAACCCCATAGTGATAAAGATAGTGGAGGTATTAATGGTCATGAAGAAGATTAGGGTTTGAAGATATTATTCAAGAAGTATAATTCAGTGAGATAAGGTTAGAAATACAAAGGTAGAGGTGCTGACGAATCCAGAAGATTAGAATTTGAGAGAGCTCAACGAATGGATGCACTTGCGCCATTGCAAACAATTTTGAGCCATGTCGTTCAGGGTCTCTAACCATCGATCATTATCATCTCGCGGACCCCAACCAGGTAGTCGACAATTACCGACATGGCTAAATCCACTCGTCAATCACTTCATGGATTTCTGACATGTTTTGGTTTGGCCGCCCCTAACTTTCTTCCAACCTGTTCCTACACTACAAAGCATAGCTCGTCAAGGCAGTCGGTGGTTAGGTATACGTAACACATGTCCCAACCACCTCGACTGATGAAGTTTCGATACTTCATCTACTGATCTGCCATCCTTACCTAGCACGCGTTTCCTAACGAAAGCATTGCTTACTTGGTTGTCCCACGGTGTGCTTCTTGAACATATATGATCGAATACCAGTAACCTACGAACATCTCTTAACGGCCATGTTTCACAGCCATATAGGAGAACGGAGCGAACTGCTGCGCAGTACACCCGTCCTTTGGTCAGCGAACGGATATCTCGCCTACGTCATAAGTTACGCAGGTTGGCAAAAGCCAATAGAGCTTTCTGTATCCGTGCTGAGATTTCATCAGTAACCATGTAGTGAAGGAGAACACAGGTGAGGGCAACCGAATTGTATTTAACGAAAATTACAGAGTTACTCAGTAAAATAGGAAAACCATATAGTAGTGGGTTAATTTGCAAATCTTCAGTCCATCATCAATCCATTGTCTGACATTTCACTATCCATGCATTTCATACACATTCCATTGTGTTCCGACTCTTCCTTTCTTGATCTTCTCCCATCTGCTGCCAGACATTACGTTTACACTCGCGTCATATACTACTTATAAGTAGCGCGCACCACAACCAGGCTACCAGCGCTGATGAGACTCCCCGATCGAAGCTGCTACCTTGACGTGGTGGTCAGGCTCGCCTATCGTCATGACCCAACCGAGCTATACTGGCTGGAACTTATGTTCCTGAAGGTCCTACCATGACAGGCAGGTCGATCGGAGAACGATGAGACTAAAAGCAGCTACCCAAGGTCTGAGGGCGAAGTCGTACTGCTGACTGACTGCAGAGGGGTGTGAGAGCAGTAAGGTGTTTCCCTCGGACAACCAGCATCTGCAGCTATGCTGCCTTCTCACAAGGAAGGAAGGGTTAGAAAAGGTCGACCCTAAAAATGTCACACCTCACCCTACCTCACGTATTTCCGTCTCCTTGTGTAAGGGTGTCCACTAAGGGCTTTCAAGAGCGGAGATAATACTGAAAAACCTTTAATCAAAAGGCTGTGCGTGACCGACCTCAAGCAGTTGTCCCTTGGGCTCTGCGATCACGCACCCAGGTCTCTAAGACCAACACTAATCTACCTTCCTTTTCAGGTTCCTCAAGAAACAACCTTCCACTGTGTGAGCAGCCGGGAAGTAACAACCGCCCTCATACCCGTAACATCACGAGAGACCAAATTGGTCAAAATCAAATCCTTCGTACACGGCTGCCTACACCGGGGAAGCATGTTTTAGTATCCATGTTGATTCAAGTTACGTCTGTGTTAGTCAGTTTAGCTTCACTTCCTTCTTGATGCATGTTCTATGTCAAGTATTCTAATTGTCTAACTGTTTTAGGACTCTGAAGATTCGGAATCAGTGTTTATAACGTATATCAACTCAACGAATGCTAAAAGCATCAACAGCAGCGGCATATGTATGAACTCTACTAGCGAAGAATACAATCTTTTAAACTTGATTTGGAAGCCAACTGGTTCTATGGGCAATTGGAATTTATCATTTAATTTTTCTCATACCTATCCTGGTTATTATGGTCTGACTAAAGTCTACTTGTTGTACTGGTTGAATGGATCGGGTCAGTTTTTTGATCCGGTTTTCTTATGGTATTTTTTTTATTTTATAAACTGAAATTTTTCCAGTGGTTGATACACATTTTAGTATCATTTCCTATTTTAACAACTTTTCCTTTCTGTTAGTGTTTAGTAAACTTACTAGCTTGAATCAGTTAACTGTTCAGACATTTTCTTAATTTTGCTCATAAATCCGTTATCAGTCAAACCCTTTACTGAAGTTCTGTTTAATGACTATCTAGTCTTTGTCCTTAATTGATACAAATTATCAAGATGGTTTCCTGGGCTCAATCGCTGACGCCTACACTTTGCTAGGAACATTATTTAAACAGCCCTTTAGTTCACTGACATGCATCTGACCACTGCCAAGATTGTTATTTATACGGATTCGGCGAGACCTATTAGGTTTTACATATGACGTAACCATATCTTCATTTAGCGCTGTTTGTTAATGCTGAAGTTCATACCTACTTACTTACTCCTGTTACCCCGAATCGAGCATAGGCCGCCAACCAGTATTCTCCTACCGACTCTGTTATGGGCTTCCCTTTCCAGTTCTGTCCAATTTTTGTTCATTCGCCATTTCTTAGCATAATGTATTTCTTGGCCTCCCACTTTTCCTTTGACCTTGGAGGTTCCAAGTGAGGACTTGTCTTGTGACGCAGTTGGGTGCTTTTCTCAGTGGCCTATCCACTTTCACCGCTTCCGCCTGATTTCTTTATCTTCCGGAATCTGGTTTGTTCCCTCTCACAGTAGGTTGTTGCTGATGGTGTCTGGCCGACGGATCCGAAGTATTTCGCGTAGAAAACTGTTATCTTCTGAATGATGGATTCAGTAGTTCTCCAAGTTTCCGCCCCATACAGTAGAACTGTCCTGACATTTGAATTGAAAATTGTGACTTTGGTGTTGGTTGATATTTGTTTGGAGTTCCAGCTGTTCTTCAGTTGTAGAAATGCTACCCTTGCTTTGCGGACCCGCGCTTTCACATCTTCGTCAGATCCGCCTCGCTCATCAGTTATGCTGCCCAGATATGTAAAGTGATTTGGCTGACGCATGTTGTGTTATATCAAACAACCTTGCTTTTCCCTTTTATGTACGTTGAGACCTGCTGCTGCTACACTGGTCGTCTTCTCTCGCATTTGTTGTTGCGTATGAGATAGAAGAGTCAAGTCATCTGCGAAGTCCAGATCGTCCAGCTGCATCCTAGCTGTCTTATTTGTAATCATATTGAATAACAAACGCATGTTATTTTAATGAATCACTAGGGCTTATCGTCATTATGCTATATATTGTTTGTCAACTAAAGCTGAAAATAATTAGTGCATAAATTGTATACATGTGTTGATTAACATTTATAACAGCACAGTGACATTGTGACAGTGTGTTGTTATAAACAGATAATCACTGTATTTTAAACCTTTCGTCACTGTACGGTTGTATACATCAAAATGATCGCTGAATATTGGCGGTCCTGGGTTTGAGTCTTGGTTTAGTATCAACATTAAGCTGCAATTGTATCTAGCCTGATAAGTTACATACAGGTAGAACAAAATGGGAGTTGTAAATTCCACTAACCACACACTTAACTTTAATAAAACAAAATCAATATGTTTTCAAATGCACTAAGTCAAGACAGGAACACCCCAATACCACAATATTGACGAATCTTAAATGTTTTCCGAATTTTATATGTTACTACATAGAATCAGTGTACTGAATTGTGCCTCTTTTTTGTCAAACGCATATATTTTAAACATATTAACTCATTATTATGAGTTTACTAGCAGTACTTATTTCTCATGATATGCATACGTATATGTAGAATGAATGCCTCGTAGAGCTTTGTTTTGTAGTGTAGGAATAGGTTGGAAGAAAGTTAGGGGCGGCCAAACCAAAACATGGCAGTCATTGACGAGTGGACTTAGCCATGTCGTTAATTGTCGACTACCTGGTTGGGGTCCGCGAGATGATAATAATTGATGGTTAGAGAACCTGAATGAGATGGCTCAAAATCGTTCGCAATGGCGTCGGTGCATTTATTCTTTGTGTTCTCTCAAATCCTAATCTTCTGGATTCTTCAACACCTCTAGTTTCGACTTTCTAAACTTATCTCACTGAATTATACTTCTTGAATAATATCTTCTCATCTTAACCTCTCCGATTACTTCTAATACCTCTACTATCTCTATCACTATTGGATTTGAATTGACAATTATATCTCTGTGATGATGTGGTATGGCAACATGAACTGATGTACGTGCGTACGTACGAAGTTCTACGTTGCATCTGACTGACTGACTGACTGTAGAATGAATGCAACTAACTTTACTATTGAAAATCTTTCACATGTTTAGTGTACAAGAAGACAATTTTTTTGTTGCTTTAATTAACATGTTTAATTACTTGTTATGTGTTAATAATATCAATTAAATACTTTAATATTATTATTATTATCATTATATTAGTACTTCTGCTAATCATTATGAAAACATAATCATTCTCATTTCATTTTATTATTCTTGATAAAATCTTAATAGATCGATCTAATGCTGCTGTTGCTATCAATGATAAAACATTATTTTCATGTGCAATTGGTTCATCTTTTACTTGTATAAAAGAACAAACATTTGAATTAAAAGATAAATTGTCAAAATTAACAAATATACGATTAACATTTAGTAATTTTCAAGTTGAAGCATTCAGAAATAGTAGCAATAATGATGATAATAAGAATAGATTTATTGGACCAAGTAAGTTGTTGATTTTTATGTTTTTTTTGGTAGAATAAAAGAATGTTTTTTACTGATTTGTTAATTTGTTTTTTTACCTTTATATCGTTTCTTGTGTAATCAATCGATGAAGTGGTGAAACTTCATCAGTTGAGGTGGTTGGGACACGTGTTGCGTATGCCTAACCACCGACTGCCTCGTCGAGCTTTGTTTTGTAGTGTAGGAATAGGTTGGAAGAAAGTTAGGGGCGGCCAAACCAAAACATGGCAAAAATCCATGAAGTCATTGACGAGTGGACTTAGCCATGTCGTTAATTGCCGACTACCTGGTTGGGGTCCGCGAGATGATAATAATCGATGGTTAGAGACCTTGAATGACATGGCTCAAAACCGTTTGGAATGGCGCTGGTGCATTTATTCTTTGTGTTCTCTCAAATCCTAATCTTCTGGATTCTTCAACACCTAGTTTTGACTTTCTAAACTTTTCTCATTGAATCATACTTTTTGAATAATATCTTCTAATCCTAACCTCTTAGATTACTTCTAATACCTTTACTACCTCTTCTACTATTGGATTTGAATTGACAATTATATCTCTGCTGATGTGGTATGGTGACATGAACTGATGTACTTACGTACGAAGTTCTACGTTGCAACTGACTGACTTGTGTAATCAATGCTAACATAAAAAAATACTTGTACTTGTTTGAATGAATAGTAGTGAACAACCCGTTTACAATCAATCGGTCAGTCAGTTAGTTACAACATAGAACTTTGTATGTATGTACGTGTACTTACATCAGTTCAGGTTGCCATACCACATTAGCACTATTGGTGACTTTCGTCTTACGGACCCCAACCAGGTAGGTAGTCGACACATACCAACATGATTCAGTCCAGTTGTCACTGACTTCATGGATTTGTGCCGTGTTCTGATTTCGCCTTCCTTAACTTTCTTCCATCCTACCCATACATCAGAAAACATCGCTTATCGAGGCAGTTGGTGGTTGGACATACGTAACACATGTCCCAACCACTTCAAATGATGTAGTTTCACTACTTGATCTATTGATTTGCCATTCCTACCAAGTACATAGGACCCGTTTTCTTAACAACAGCATTGCTTACTCGGTTGTCCCAGGGCACACGAGCAGTGCTTCGGGGACACCTATGATCGAAAACCAGTAACCTAGGAATATCTTCTACTCTTACTGGCCATGTTTCACACCCATAAAGCAAGACGGAGCGAACCACTGCACAGTACACTCGTCCTTTAGTCAGCGAACGGATATCTCGCCTTCGCCATAAGTGATGCAGGTTGGCAAAAGCCAATTGAGCCTTCTGTATCCGTGCTGAGATTTCGTCAGTAGCAAGTTCTGTGTTGGGTGGTTTAACTGGTCGATTGACTAATTGAGACAATTGTCAGTTAAATCACATTTTGGTACCCCGATGACTAAGCAACGCCCATTTATTGTTTTGCATAGTCTGTTTGATGACTTCAGATTGTAATGGATATTGTAATTCAGTTATCAATCTAACCTATCGCTATATTGTATTCAAATCTAGTCAGTAAGATTGATTCTATTAACTGTTGGCTAAAAAAACTTTTAAATAGACATCCAACTCACTCATTATATTCTTATAGAATGCCAATATCAATTTTATATTTATTCAGCCGTTAGGAAACCTTAAATATAGGTTTCGTGTTGTTTTGGACTTCTCAGCATGATAAACCTGTAACCGTGAGAGAAGTGAAACTCCTTGGCTAATTCGATATCGTGTCACCCAGACTCAGTCCTGTTGACTACCTCTATCCACCACCTCACGTCGCAACATGTTCGATCATTTAGACTAGTGGACAGATTGAAACACACCACTAAGAAAGACTTGATTTACATAACAATAGTCACTACTCACTGATTAATCAATTGTCAGTGTGTACTATATTGTATCAAAAATTTACTGATTAAATTACTTACTACCGCGTTGTTGTAAGAACTCAACAACAGTGTATAGTCGGTTGTAATCCCTTTCATAACACGAGAATTCTTCAACCAGTGCTTATTATCATACTGATGGAAATACGTATACACTATCTTAACCGAATGTTAGTCATTTAACGGTCTTATACCTTTGTAATTGTTCATTTTTCGCTGTTATTTGTGTTCAATATGATTTTTTCTTACGGAGTTGTTGGGGATGTTAGATCCCCAGAACTCGCTTGATAAATATCTTTATTTTGGATTTATTTCATGGACCGATCGGTTGACCTTGAGATCACATTTCCCACCAGGAAAATCCTTGGCTGTTGATTGGTTACTGTGTCATTTTAGTGTGCTATTTTTGTGACTGTCCCAAGGACGTCTCTATAGCGTATAAATAAACGCAATTTGAGTGCTTGGATTCATTGTTTGCTGGCTGGGTGTTTGTAGAATACAAGACTTGTTGCTGATACCTTTTGCTCAAGGGATCACAGTAGCCTACTTGGACGCTGGTTCATTGTTTTGTTCTCGTTATTTGACTAAGGTAAACTCGTAGTTTAAGCATACCTAGAGACGAGCGTAACAGGATTGAAGCAGTTGAGCGTGTTGACCGCTTCACTTATCTCAGGAGTCTCATCAGTTCTGATGGCCTGGTGACCGATGAAATCTCAGCACGGATAAGGAAGTTTCGATTTTTTTTACCAATTTTTGTCACTTATGGCATCAGCGAGATATCGGTCTGCTAACAAAAAAATGAGTGTACTTGCTCAGCAGTTCGCTCCGTCCTATTTTATGGCTGTGAAACAAAGCTGGTAAGAGTAGAACATCCATGAAGTAGTCACTGACAAGTGCATTAAATCATGATGGTAAGTGTAGACTACTTGGTTGTGGTCTGCGAAATGATAGTAATCGATGGTTAGAGCTTTTGAATAGCATGGTTCAAAACCGTTTGCAATGGTGCAGGTGCATCCATTCTTTGTGTTCTCTCATATCTTAATCCTCGGAATTCCTCATCACGTTTATCTTTGTCTTTTTAAGTTTATTCAACTAGATTATACTTCCTTAATAATATCTTCGAATTTTCATCTTTTCCATTACCACTAATTCTTCTACTACCTCTAGTACTATGGGATTTGAGCTGACAGTTGCGTTTCTTTGCTAATGTGGTATGGCAACTTGAACTGATGTACGTTCGTACGACGTTCTATGTTGTAACTGACTGACTGACTTACATAGACAACCTTGAGTGTTTTTTTTAAAAATATTCCACATTTTTTTAGCGATTTCAATCAACTAAAGGAAATTACAAAATAGACATTGGTGTTATAGAGTTAAAGAATATTTATAGATTGGCTATTAGTAACTTATTCAACAAATAACCTCGTTCGTCTGACATCAAAGCATCCTTTGCTTAGAATATTCATAAATATTCATGAATAGTTTTGCCGACAATCGCTCATATTCATTTTAACAACTCTTAATTATATCGTCAAGTTATATAATGTTGACGACTGTATGTATAACAGTTTCAAAACAACAAGTTTAATTTTTTGTAGTATTCAAACTGTTACGCTGAAAATGATTTTGATACTTTTGTTAGGACAATTGAATTAATTAATGACTTGAATTTCCAATATCCAGTGCTATCGCAGACAACTAGGGGTTTGAGAATAAAGGATCACTTTTGCTAACACACAATCGTAAATAAGCGTTTTTATTTTTACCCTCCATTGTTTTAATAATTTGTTATACTTTCCTCATCGTGAACAATTGTGACAAAGGTGTTGAGTTCTTAGTATCACTATCTCATTGTCAATTAGTTCTTTTGTAAAAATGAATTTTAATCAAAATTACCTTTTTTTGTTTATTGTAAAATGTTTTCTCTAATTAAAAAAAACCTTTTTTTTGACAGATATATTTACAACAATTAGTCCCTTTTATAAATTTTGATAGAACAGTGAGAAGACGTAATTGATCTGAAAAGTAGGTGATGTATTTGCGCCCTATACATTTCGAACAATCTGGTCACATATATACTTACTTGTCAAGGCATTTTATATGAAGATGAATAAAAGGTCAATTAAATAAAAGTTCAAATAGACATAGGGTGATAATTGTAAATAAAGGAGAGAGAAAATTAACGTAATATGAAAAGAATAAGAAAGGGTAGGAACATTGTCACATTACCCTAGGCTTAAAGATTACCAGGGTAAATTCAAGGTTATTACAAATTGTTTCTGCACACATAAAGGGGGTTTTAATTTTCTAATAGCCAAGGCGTGTTTGGCGATCGATGAACATAGTTTTCTATTTCCAACGTTAATCGGCTCATCTGACGTTAACTGATTTTGAAGCCACTTAGGTACATGTTCCACAACCCTTGATTGCAAAGTCCGATTACTCCTCCCTATGTATGTGTGTCCACACAAACATGTAAATTGATAAATACAATGGGATGTGATGTAATCATTAGAGCAACGTATTTGTCAATTTACATGTTTGTGTGGACACACATACATAGGGAGGAGTAATCGGACTTTGCAATCAAGGATTTTCAGATCAATTACGTCTTCTCACTGTTCTATCAAAGATATATTTACATCGTAATATGACGATTATCATTTTTCTAAAAAACTTATTTTTTTTTTCTTTTATAGCTTACTCTTGTTCAGCTGATTATGTACAAACAAATGTAGTTCCAATTGTTGTCGGTGTTTTATTATTCATGGTTATTATAACATCTGTTCTATTCAAGTTTATTATCATAAATCGATGTCGTCAATCTAATTATCAACAAATATAATGTATAGTTTAGTTAGTTAGTTAATTAGTTATCACATCACATCACATGATAATAGGCCTATTATCAATATCACCACATAATAAATATATATAACAACTACTAATGACATCAAATCTCAGATCTATCTATCTATCTATCTGACTGATGGATGGTCGGTTGTGTGTGTGTGTGTAACCATGGATTTGAATAGTAAGTGTTACACGCCATTTTTTTTCCTCATCTACATTGTTTGTTTTGTTCTTTTTTTTTAAAAAAAAATCAATTTCTCCATTTCATCAATCAATACTTCTTATTGCTGCTGCTGCTCATCTAATTATACCATTATAAATTTCAAATATTTTATATTTTTTAATTTCTTTACAGCATTTTTTTTGCTTTTGTATTCTAATGACTTTAATTTTTTTTGTTTTAAGATTTCTGGTTATTTTTGTCAATTCAAATACATTGTCATTCATTCATTGTTTAGTAAATTGTATTGTTAGTTATTAAGGGATTCTATTAGTATGTTTATTAAAGTTTACTATTTATCATATTTGTATGACTACAGATCACACACAAGCTTAATCATCTAGTTTCAGATTGACATTCTATGCGTCATCGACGAGAAAGGTGGATCCGATGCAGATGTGAGGGCGCGGATTGGCAAAGCGAGGGTTGCATTTCTACAGTTGAAAAATATCTGCAACTCCAAACAACTTTCAAACAAAACCAAAATCAGGATTTTCAATAGAAATGTCAAGACAGTTCTCTATTGTATGGAGCGGAAACCTCGAGAACTACCAAAGCCATCATTCAGAAGATACAAGTGTTTATTAACAGCTGTCTACGCAAAACACATCGGATTCGTTGGCCAGACACCATCAGCAACAACGAACTGTGGGAGAGAACAAGTCAGATTCCAGTGGAGGAGGAAATCAGGAAGAAGCGGTGGAAGTGGATAGGACATACACTACGAAAAGCACCTAACTGCGTCACTAGACAAGCCCTCACATGGAACCCTCAAGGCAAAAGGAAAAGAGGAAGGCCAAGGAACACACTACGCCGAGAAATAGAGAAAGATATGAGAGGAATGAACAAACATTGGACAGAACTGGAAAGGGAAGCCGAGGACAGAGTTGGTTGGAGAAAACTGGTGGGCGGCCTATGCTCCATTGGGGGTAACAGGCGTAAGTAAGTAAGTAAGTAATTCTATGCGAATCGATCTATTGTTGTGTGGACCAGAGTCCATTATTAATTTTCCGGTTAGTTTCTTAAGTTCCATCTTTATTTGTACCACTGATTGTGGAAATTTTTTAATGTTCAGTAGTATTGAACGGATATCAAGGTTGTTATAATGCTGCTACGTATGGTTATTCAGTCTTAGCGGCGTCCAAATTCAAATATCCCAGTACGACCTAAATACCATTTCCAAATCTCTTATATATCAGAATGCAACACCGTTGCATGGATTTGTTTGTTGGGTCGAGTACAAAAGTGAGGTAGGCAGGAAGAAACGAAATGAAAATCATGGAGTGCTACAGATAGTGCGTATTTATACATTAAGGTTGAATAGGAAAGAGCATCAAAGTCTCTGTGACATTGACAGTTTAGGACGACCAATAGGAAAGAACATTTGAAATGATATTGACAGTCCGGATGACCAATAAGAGGACAACATTGAAGTATTTGACTTTGACAGTTAAAACGACCATAATTTTGACCAATAGAAATCGACCAATAGAATTATACTTCCAAAAATAATACTCTTAGGATATTTGGTGAATATCCTAACAAAGGTTCACGTTTCTAATAATTATAGATACAATAGTCCGGTATTTATTACGTCTAAGCTCTACTTCTGACGAATTTTCACTTTTTCATTGCACTGAGTGGTGGCTGTTTCATTAAAAAGAAATGGCATATTGGTTATTTGTAGAAACCATTAACAGGAATGGACCTACGTTCTAGGCTAGTTTAGTACAGAGGAGCACGTAAATATTCACGCCCCACGCATATTGTTAGTTCGCGTGTGGGCTGTGATGGTATCTGGACACCAAAACTGAACCGGGTGGATTTTTTAGAGAATCATTCCCTGAGCCTTTGACCTAAAGCTTCGATCCACAAGGTAGTGAATAAACGTCAGAAGATGCGGTCCCCACGGTAGTCAGTGACCAACAATAAGTTCATATGCTGTTTGTTCCCTCAGGGTCCTTTAGTCCATGTGCACTATCGGTTCTGAACGAGGGTTTTCCAACTCCCTCAGGTTAGTATATCGTGTGCACCAACCCTGACAAAGCACTGGATATTCATTTTTCGTCCTCACTTTTTTAAACAACATCCCCGTCAAGAGTGGGCAGTGAGTAAGATTTCTTCGGTAGTGGTCATATACGCGTGGCTATGTAAGGGCGCTTCAAGAAGGGTTGCAGGATCTGCCCACTCAGTCGTACCAGGACAATAAGAAGTACGTATCAAGTTGAAAGAACTGCTGTCTCTCTTGTGGTTCGAACTTGCTCGTTTACATCTGTCTTCCGTATTTTCTATACCAGACTAGTTGCACACGCATAGATTCGTGGTATAATCTGACTCCGTAACAATTCGAGCTCTCCAGATTCCACTCCTGTTGTCATGATCCCGTTCTTATAATTGCATATTAGGAGTTCAATATCTGAATACAAAATCATATATTAAGGCAAACAATGTTTTTCCTAACCGTGACTATACCATATTATAAGACAGGGTTTACTCGTGTCTCTTTGACTAACAAAGAAATCTACATATTATGCGCATTTTAGTAGGTATTTCACATAAGGGTTTTAATTAATGCACATATCAGAGAATCTGGTTGTGCAAATATTCACATATCTAAGGATAAGAAACACAGCTTTCAATTCCTTATACTCCATCTAAAGGGATTATAGGATATTCGTATCAAAAGAATTATCAATTAGATGGTTGGTAGATAAGTCTTTTTCCTAATTGCTGGTGCTGAAAATCAGTTTCAGCGGCTTCTCTTTTAATGTGAAGAGGAATCATCTTAATAGGAAGCCACTGCTGATAATTGTAGAAAGTGGAAACATGTGTAGGAGAACTGTTATCAGTATTATGTAGTAGACTGCAGTTGTTCTTATTAATTAAAGATAGTATCCTTTGTAGTATTTAGCTATATATCGAGCCCACGTGGCTTGTCCCAGTACTTGGACAAAGTAATCAATCCCTTCTTCTCGAGTTATTCACACTTCTTTTGACCTTTTCAATTCTTTGCTTATAGCCTTCAACCTTTTTTACTTCAATATGTATGTGCAGCACTAACTTTACTTATCACATGATATGCTTGCTTTTGTTTCATATCTCAATCATTGAGTTGGTCCACTTACCTTTGCTTCGCTCTGCTTTTTCAATGCTTCACATTATATTTTGTCTGTCTGATCAAACGAATGTTTGAAATAAAATATGCTGTATTTAGCTTTTAATTTCTACCGTCATACAAACAGGTTTCACCTAAGTATGATATGCAGAAAGAAATCAGAGGAAAGATTTATTTTATAAAATATTCATTTGTTAGTCTAAATTGAAGTCACATGAATGATACGATTGTCCTGGAGACCACGCCACTGAAACACTGTTTTGAGACTTTAGAAATATTTATCCTTTGGTTCTTTCATAGTTACCCGTCACCAAATTACTCCAACGGACCATTCAATTTGGCTTTTTTTAAAACGTGGAAATCGACAAGTTTGCAAAAAAGTACGGAATAAACGATTTCAGGTCTGCCTGTCGTTTTTCAGAATCTATATCCAAACGATTTAGTTATCGATTAAGCATATTTTATTGGGTTCCAATCTAATAATAGCTTTCAAAGGCGGCTTGTTTCAGATAACGATTCAAATACAGTGATATTAGAGGGCAACTATTTTATCTTCGTTCGAAATGCTTTAGTAGTGAACATCATTTTGTGTAGGAATCATGTGGAGTCTCCTCAAGATCACTAAGTTGGTACCCGATCCTCATTCCTTAACTCCCTTTGAAGGGGTTATTGATAAGACACATTGTGACAAATTGATTCTGTCGAAACGTTAATGGAACAGCTTATGTAGAAGTCATTGTCGGTCGTTGTAATGGACACCGTTTCTCACCTATTGTCAGAATTCTTGTTCCCTATAGTACAAAAGAGAATGTTATTACTTTAGTCATGTTACATAGTGTTGGTTTTATGGGCTGTCATCAAACGAAGCACGTTATTTGTTCATCCAGCTTGGATTTTTAAATTTGTAATAGTGGATATGTTTTCTTGTTGTCATTGACTTTTTCGCTGATACATTTGTCGTCTAGACCTTTATTTACAGATTTTTCGGAAAGTAACGAAAGTCATGAGATAACATGCTGAAAGAACTTGTAGACTGAATGCGCACGAAAAAAGATCAAGGTCGACGAATATTTTAGGGGCGGCCAAACATTTGGTGGACATTTCATTGTTATCAGTCAGTCAGTCATATGCAACGTAGAACTTCGTACGTAAGTACATCAGTTCATGTCGCCATACCTCATCATCACAGAGGTATAGTTGTCGATTCAAATCCAATAGTAGAAGAGGTAGTAAGGGAATTAGAAGTAATCGGAGAGGTTAGAATTAGAAGATATTATTATTCAAGAAATATGATTCAGTGAGATAAGTTTAGAAAGTCAAAACTAGAGGGATTGAAGAATCCAGAAGATTAGGATTTGAGAGAACACAAAGAATAAATGCACCAGCGCCATTGCAAACGGTTTTGAGCCATGTCATTCAGGGTATCTAACCATCGATTTTTATCATCTCGCGGACCCCAACCAGGTAGTCGACAATTACCGACATGGCTAAGTCCACTCGTCAGTGACTTCATGGATTTATGCCATGTTCTGGTTTGGCCAACCCTAGCTTTCTTCCAACCTGTTCCTTCACTACAAAACATAGCTCGTCGAGGCAGTCGGTGGTTAGGCATACGCAGCACATGTTTCAACCACCTCAACTGATGAAGTGTCACTACTGCGTCTATTGATCTGCCATTCTTACCTAGCACCCGATTCCTAATAACAGCGTTGCTCACTCAGGTGTCCCAGGATATACGAGCAATCCACCTATGATCGAAGACCAATAACCAACGAATATCTTCTACTTTCACTGGCCATGTTTCACAGCCATAAAGTCAGACGGAGCAAACTGCTGCACAGTACACTCGTCCTTTAGTCAGCAAACGAATATCTCGCCTACGCCATAAGTGACGTAGGTCAGCAAAAGCCAATCAAGCCTTGTGTATCTGTGCTAAGACTTCGTCAGTCACCAGGCCATCAGCACCGATGAGACTCTCCAGGTAAGTGAGGTGGTCAACAAGCTCGACTACTTTACTCCCTATCACTAGTTCAGGTGCCGATGCAACTCAATGTTGAAGCAAAATTTTGCTTTTCGAAAGGAAAACCGCATCCCGAACATGCTTGCGTTGTTGCTTAGGGTAATCAGAAGACTCTGCATTTTGTCA